TGAAACAGCAAGTGGCAAGCCCTGGAGCTAAATGAGTTGGGAGGTAGGCCCCAGCCACAGCAACTTTCACCTCCCAGACAGTGTGGGGAATTGGGGGTCTGAACAGAGGAAAATTGAGGGAACCTCTGCTGATAAAGGGCACCAGGCCCAGCTGTGCTGCTGAGACATGGCCCTGAGTGATAAGGAACCAACATATATGCCTGGTGAGTGCAGAAGCAGTGGGGTAGGGACACCACTGGTTGTGGGCACTTACAGGAGGACAGAATTCTTAGTTTTGGTTCCAGGCCAGAGGGGAAGAACTGAAGGAGGATCTGAGGCCAGAGGTACCCTACGCCCATACCCCAGGACTACAAAAAAAAAAAAAAAGTTGGCTAAGGAGAAAGAACCCAACCATAGAAAGTTACCATAAGAATAGAGAAGACCAGAGTTCTACTTCAGAGGAGGATATTGAAGCAAAAAAAAGCCTCTCCTGCCCCAAAGAGTAACATCAAATGGTCACCTGCCCAAAAAGAATTCATACAAGTACTTTAAAAAGACTCTAAAAATCGAATGAGGAGATTGAAGAAAAATTAAAAAAAAAAAAGAACAATCCAAGAAAAATAACAAAATTATGAAAAGAAAGTTAACCAAATAGAATCTTAAGGAAAAAAAATGACTCTTTGAAAATTAGAATTGGGCAAGGGGGAAACCAATGAAGTTATAAGAGACCAAGAAATTACAAAACAAAATATAAAGAATGAAAAAATAGAAGAGAAAGTGAAACATTTCATAAGAGAAACAACTGATCTGGAGAACAGATCAAGAAGAGAAAATATAAGAATAACCAGACTATCTGAAAGCTCTGATCAAAAAAAAAAAATCTTGATACAATAATACAAGAAATAATTAAAGAAAATTGTCCTGAAGTGTTAGAATAAGAGGGGAAAGTAGAAGTAGAAAAAAATCCACCAATCACCACCTGAAAGAAATTGTATGAGGAAAACCCACAGGAATATTATAATTAGATTCCAAAACTCCCAGCTCAAGGAAAAAATCATGAGCAGCAAGAAAAAAATAATTCAGATATGGTGGTGTCACAATTAGAATCACACAAGACCTGGCAGGAGCTACACTAAAAGACCACAGATCTTGGAACACTATCTATCAAAGAGCGAAAGAACTGGGATTGTGGCCAAAAATATCATATCCAGCAAAGTTAAGTATAATCTCAAAAGAAAAAAAAAAGGAAATTCAATGAACTGCCAGAATTTCAGTATTTTGTTGCAAAAAGACCTGAAATTAATAGAAAATTTGACATACAAGATCCAAGAGAAATATAAGGTAAACAACAAAGACTAATTACAAGGGACTCAGTAAGGACACACTGTTTACTTTTTATATGAAATAATATAAATTGTGTCTAAGATTGTTATTTGTAATTAGGTAGTTCGAAAGAAAGATCAGGGTAGAGTTGAGTAAGATGTGATACTAAAAGGTAAACTGTCTAGGAAAAGGTAAAAAATGTAATTACACAAATGAGGTGTGAGAGGAAGAGCTGACACAGAGAAATTAGATGGGGGAGGAGGGCTGGTAGTTCTGAAACCCTACTCTCATCAGGAATGGGTTGAAGAGGGAACAATACATATATATCTAGAAAGGCATAAAAATCTTCTAAATTCAGAAAGGAATAAAAGGCTAAAGGGATAGTTAGGGAGGGAGGAGAAGACAAGGGAGGCATTTCAGATTGGGGAGGAGAGGATAAGGGAAGGATCTTTGCCGGGGTAGGTTAAGTAATAGGAGGGCAAGGTAGCAGATAGAAGTAAAGTAGAGGAGTCAGGAAGGATAGGAAATAGGAAATACACACAAGCATAAAATAAAGATCAAGAGTAAGATTTATCAAGATAAACAGGGGTAGTAATCACGATCTCAGACAAAGTTAAAGCTACATAGATTTAATCAAAAGAGAAAAACAGGGAAACTATACTATATGTCAGACATATTAATCAATATTGTTTTAGACTATTTAAAATAACCAGACAGTATAAGGTTGGAATATTGTTGTGGTATAGGAAATAATGAGTTGGTGGACTTAGAAAAATAGGGAAAGACTTGGACCTATGAAGGAAGACGTTATCCACCCTCAAAGAAACTAAGGACAAACAAGTATGGTACATTCTTACACAGATGCATATGAATGTATATGTTTATATATGTAAGTATGATTAAAGATATCTAAGTACATGTATGTATATGTATGTGTATATACATATGTATGCATATGTCTGTGTGTGTATTTGTGCGTGCATGTTTATACACATGTACATGCTTGCATACATGCGTACATGCATGCATGCATACATTCATACATATATCTATGCTTAATTATAGCCTTCTTGAGGGAGCAGAGGGAGGAAAGGGGAAAAAAAGAACAAAGTAAAAAGTGCACAGCAGAGAACAAAAGAAAACTTACAAGCAAGCAAAGAAAAGATGTACAGCTCTCAACACAAAGTGTAGTATTTATTATATAGCTTTTCTTGAAATGTAAATTCAGTAATGTATATTTTGAATCCTCTCTTACCCTCTGCTATGAATATGGCAATGCTTTTTTTCCCCCTTTTTTTCTTTTGTATTTAAGTTTATCATATGTTTCTTTTTCTTTTGTTATTGTATATTTAAGTTTTAGTATTTAAATTTAAAATAAATTAATAAAAATAGTAAGGAGGAAAATACACAACAAGTAATTATAGTCAGAATGTGAATGGGATGAATTTGTGCATAAAATGGAAACAGAAAGCATATTAAAAATTTGAATTCAACAATATGTTGCTTTTAGGAAACACAATAAAAATGATACACACAAATCAAATAAAGGGCAAGAGTAGAATTTATCATGTAAAAAAAAGCAGAAGTAGTAATCATGATCTCAGGCAAAGTTAAAACTAAAATAGATTTAATCAAAAGAGAAAAATAGGGAAACTACCCTATGTGTCAGCAATATTACTCAACATTGTTTTAGACCATTTAAAACAACTAGACATGTCAAAATAGACACAGGAACTATATGAACCTAAACATAAAACACTTTTTTATATACATAAAGTTAGATCTAAATAACTGAAGTAATATTTGTTGTTCATGGGTAGATAAAGCCAATGTAACTGTTAAAATGACAATTTTACCTAGCTAATCTATTTATTCAATGCTATGTCAAATAAATACTAAAAAATTATCTCACTGAATTAGAAAAAATAATAGCAAAGTTCATTTGGAAGAACAAAAGTTCAGGAATTTTAAAGAAGCTAAGGGAAAAATATGTAAAGGAAGCAGATTCAGCAATATCAGATCTTAAATCATAAGGTGAGAACATTGTTGAAATGTAAAATGGGTAATTTCAATTCTTTTAAATTAAAATTTTCTTCTATAAATAAAACCAATGTAGCCAAGAATATAAGGAATGCAGGAAAAAAAAAAAAACTTTCATAGGCAATCTCTCAGATAGGATGTAATTGTGTTGGAATATTGCCATGGTGTAGGAAATGATGAGCTGGTAGATTTAGAAAAACATGAAAAGACTTGGACTTATGAAGGAAGATGCTATCCACCTTCGGAGAAAGAGATGACGAGTGGAAATATGCAGAGTATGGTCTTACATATATGTGTGTGAGTGTATATGTGTATGTTTGTAGATATCTATGTATATATGTATGTATGTGTATGTATATATAATTATGTATATATATATACATATATATATATTCTTGAGGAGTAGGGGAAAAATAAAGTAAAAAGTGCATAGCAGAGAACAAAAGAACACTTATAATGAAGCACAGAAAAGCTAGATAGCTTTGAAAACAATGTGTAGTATTTATTATACAGGTTTTCTTGAAATGGAAATTTATTATTTTATATTGAATCCTCTCATGTTCTGCTGTGTGCACGACTATGTTCTTTTTTTCTTTTCTCATTTTGTATTTAAGTTTAAAATTAGTAAAAAAAAAATTATGAACAACAAGAAGAAGAAAAAAACACTTAGAAATCAAATTTGAGACCCCTCTACCCAGAGAGTGTATGCTCAAGTGTTGGGAAGAAAGGCTTGTAATTCTGTTCTTACCATATTTTCACAGTAAATACCCAGTTGTAAGAGCTAAATTATGTTAATTAGTTAAATGATACTGAGACACTAATTGCTGGCAATTGATGTAGGAGAGTACACCCAGAAAGGGAGCTTCAGCAGATAGCATTAAAAAAAGACACCCTACCCCCTACCCCTCAGGGGTACCCTTAGCACCTTGAGAGGAAAGTATAGTCTGTTTTGTTCTGGGAGAGCAAGTCCAGAATCTTGCTACTGGTAAAACAATCTATATTTTCTATTCTGATTGTGGAACTTGTTAGCTATGCAACTTGGAAAAAGTAATTTAATATCAATTTTGTCATTTGTAAAATTTGGATAATATTTATATTCTTTACCTCACAGGGTTGTTGTGAGGATTATGTATGTTAGAATGCTTTGTATCAGGTAAATGTGAATTGTGATTATTACTATTGACCCTACCCTTACCCCTCCCCCCTTCCCCAAACATACTTTCCCTTTATTGGTCTTCCCAACTGCACTAAGCACATGAGATGATCTACTCTACCCCTTCTCCAATTCTGTCTCTTTTCTACCAGAATCAGCTTTGGATAAGAATATCAAACTTTGCCTATTTTCATGTTCTTTCTTGTTTTAAAGGTAAGGCCAACTCTGGGCAAGATAGACAATCTAAAGGCCTCAAACTTTTGCCATGTTCATCTTCCTTGTCTCCTGTAACTCCAGGAAGCTTCTAGATAACCTTTTCCCTCTAATGCCCCCAAAGGAATATTTATATGGTAATTCAATGTATTATTATTTTTTTTAATGAGGACAGGATGTAATGGGGACATTTCCTTTTTTTGTTCCTTTCTATCTGAGTTTTTGTTGGACATAGGGGAAGCAGTTTATTTTTTAAGATTAAGGTTACATAGGGACCTCTGGTCCCTTCAACTGCTTATTCAGTTCAGAAGAATTTGGTTCAGGCTGAGAGAATTCTCCAAAATCAGCTTCTTTGTTGAGCAAGTGGAGGAAGGGGAGACCTAGGATTTCACTACCATTTTGGATATCTCTCTGGCTGTCAGGTAAGGTATTTGTTCTCAAATCCTTTTAGATATAACAATAGGAGAGTGATTAAGTTAGATTTCTGTCAGTTGGCCTCAGTGGAGAAAACTGAAAGCCTTGGGCAGAAGTTCCTGAGAGGCAGATATGCTCAATATATGAGAGGCAGATTTAAGCTCAATATAAGAACAGATTACCTAACAATATGAGCTGTCCCCAAGTGCAATGCGCTATTTTTTAGGAAGAAGTGAGTTTCTCATTACTAAGAATCTTCAATAGGAAGCTAGACAACCACTCCTTAGGTATGTTATACATGACCTCTCTCAGCCTCCATTTCCTTATAGGTAAAATGAGGGTAACAGCAGCACCCACCTTGTGGGATGGTTTTGAGAGCAATTGAGAGAGTATATGGAATGAGCTTTGCAAAACTTGAAGTTATATATAAATGTCAGCTGTTATTTCTCAGTCCAGCTGGGAGTTTCTGTGATGCTGGGTAACTTTAGTAGCTGCTAAAAATGGGTATAGGCAGGAGTGTCCATGCTTGTAAGAGCAGATTGTTAAATTTTCAATGTGAGTATTTATACCTCAGAAATTGGCAATAGCTACAAATCAAGGCTTGATGGTCTGGATAGCACTAATAATACAGATTGAACTTGAAATAGGTGATTCTATTCCCAACCCCTCTCCCACCCAGAGCACAGTGTTTAAACATTTACCTACACACCCCTGTATTTGTTTTGTAAACAGTGCTTGAGCTCCTCTGGAGTAGAACAGAAGGCTTAGGGTATGAAGTCATCACCAGACTGGAGGTCTGGTGACTGGAGGATAATAATGATGATAACAACAATAACTGGCATTTATGTAGTGCTTTCAGGTTTGCAAAGTGCTTTGTATACATTGTATCATTTGAGTCTCATGATGCCTCTAGAGATTCTGACAACAAATTGTTTGGGTATAGGATGGAATTTAGGGAGGGAAAGGGAAGACCAGCAAGAGAAGGGACCTAAAGTAAAAGTCTTCTGTCTTACTTTTCTCTCAGTCAGCAATTCCAGAAAATTACCTTATGTCTAGAGTTTGTCAGAGGTAGGGAGATAGTCTAGTTGGGTCAATTAGTCAATAAACCTTTGTTAAACTTCAACCATGTGCCAGGCACTGTGCTAGAAGCAGCTGGTGACACACTACACAAAGTGCTGGACCTAGAGATAGGAAGATTTGGGTTTAAATCCAGTATCAAATACTTACTAGCTATGTGACCCTGGGCAAGTCATTTAACCTCTGCCTCAATTTCTTCACTTATAGAATGGGTGTGGGGCAGCTAGGTGGCACAGTGGATGGAGTGCCAGACCTGAAGTCAAGAGGACTTCCTGAGTTCAATTCTGGTCTCAGGCACACACTTAGCTGTGTGTCCCTAGGCAAATCACTTAATCCTATTTGCCACAGTTTCTCATCTATAAAAATCTGGAGAAAGAAATGGCAAACCACCCCAGTATCTTTGCCAAGAAAACCCCAAATGGGGCCATGAAGAGTAGGACACAACTGAACAACAAAAACAAGAAAGAAAATGGTTAATAATAGCATTTACCTCACAGGGTTCTTGTGAGGATCAAATAAGATAATATTGGTAAAATTACTTAGCCTGGCAAGTAGCATGCGATATGATATATAAATGTACATGTCTTTTCTTTTCCTTCCCTCCTTTCCCCCAAGCACTGAGGATGCAAAGAAAGATAAAAGACAGCCCCTGTTCTCAAGGAGCTCACAGTTTAATGGAAGCAATGTTGTAAAGAGGGAGGTATTTACATTCTGGGCCTCATAGCCTCTTCCCATTTCTGTTAGTATGACTAAGCAAGCCACTTAACCTCTGTTTAACTTAGTTTCCTCAACTACAAAATTGGAATATAATCTCCCCCAGCCACTTGGAGGCCTTCTATCTCCTTCTTAAACAGGATGCTGTTGGTGGTGAACATAATGCATTGGAAAGACATGTTATGAGTTGTGCTTGAGCATGGGCATGATTCAGAGACAATAATATTTCCATATTGTTTTAAGTTTACAAAGTGCTTTGCTCACAACAACCTCTGACATAAGTATCATAAATATTATTATGCCTTACAGATGAGATGACTGAGACTCAGAGACTGACCACAAAGGTCACTCAGCTAGAAAATGTCAAATTTTGGACTGGTTAAAGGGGTGTGACCTTATGCAAGTCATTGGAATACTTCCAGCATACATACCTTTCTGACAAGGGGATAATTGAGCAAATCAACAAAAATCGATGATGGAGAAACTTTGTTTGGAGAGGCCCTCCCCAAAAATCATTCTAATTTATTTCTCTCTAGGGTGATTTATTTCACCCAGCCCAGGCCAATGGGAAATTCAGGGTGGGATAATAGAGAGACTGCTGGACTCAGAGTCAGGAAGATTTGAGTTCAAATCCTGCCCCTGACATTTACTTACCATAGGACCATGGACAAGTCATTTAACCATCCTTATCTATTAAAGGGCGAAAATTATACCTGTGGCATTCTCTTTAATATTAGAACTAGCCAAAAATCGAATTGACTGCCTCTGGAGGTAGGGGAGTTCCTCATTTCTGGAGTTCTCCAAGGAAAGGCTCAGGTATGTTGTAGTGGGAATTCTTTAATTCTTTTAATAATTAAAATGAAAATTTTAATTAAATTTTCATTCCTTCATTTATTTTAATACTAAAAATACATCTCCTTAATCAATTAATTCAGAGCCTCTATTAACAAATTGGATAAACCTCTTTTCTCATAAGTGTTTATTCACCTTTTTCTCCTTACTGTCAACCTGGCAGAGTTTGATCTAAGAAAGACAAAGTTAAATTGTCCAAGTCCATGTTTCTATTTCTCTCAAGCCGATGGCATGCATGTGAAGCTACAGAAAAAGACAGAGCCTCACTAAGGGAGCCAGTCTAGGCCTGGGCTTGATTTCGGGGGTGGGGTACCCAGGTTATATACCTTTTCAACAGGGGCTGATATCACTCCATTATTGTTTTACCTCCCGACAGAGGAAATACTTCTTCTATCAGACCACCCTGCAGCCATACCAGACCACTCCCAGCCTTGGACTATTTAGACAGAAGAATCTGTCTCCACCTAAGACGGAGCAGAACACAGGAAACTTCCAAACCTTTGATTAAATCAATTCAGGCTTGGGTTGGGGTTTGGCCAGGATAAATGTAATGTAATCTCATTATCTCAATGTAATCTCATTATCTCAATGTAATCTCAATGTCAGTAATGACCTTCTGAAGAAGAAACTGAACTTTGGAAGACTGGGGCTAGGGTGAAGCTCTGAGTCTCCAAGATAATGATTACTAAAAAAAATCATTTTTCACAATATCAAACCCACTATTCTCCTAGGATAGGATAAAATAAACAACAAGGTTACTAGTTGCACTGTTTATTAATAATGTAACAAAAATAAAACAAAGGTAAATTGCACTAGATGACTGCTAAGGTCCCTTCTAACTTTGAAATTTCTGTTTCTGTGAGCTTTCAGGTTTCATCCTTTTACTATCTAAATAGAAAAGAGACCTTCAAAGAACCCTAAGCTGGAGAAAGACTCTCTAAAGACACTGGACTAAAAACCTTCTAAAAGAGCCCCAGCTCACAAAAACACTATTATATCTAATTTTTATTGATTTATTAGTCTTCTGACCTTGTATTTCTCCACATTATACCTCAATTGAGTATACCTCAATACCTTGTTGTGCTGCATCTTTCTCCTTAGCCTCCCCAGAATGTTGCTAAAGATTTCTCTCTGGACATAGACATAGACCTGCGAAGGAATCTAGAAACAGATTATTGTTGTTCAATTGTTTCAGTGATATCTGACTCTTGGTGGGAGTTAGATTTTTTTTCTTAAAGCTGGGACAATTTACTTTTTGCCCTGTGCAGTTTTCATTTATGATTTCTTGACACATAGCTCTGAAAAAACAGACTTAAAAAAAAAATAATGGTTTTAAAGGAGTCCAGTGATTCTCTGGACCAGCCCATTGTGTTTCAAATGGAATAACTTGACTAAACCTTTGTTGATTTACTACCTGAAATAGAAAAGTCTGAGGCTCAAAGTTTCCAATTATTATGATTTATTTACAAGGCTAGCAGTTGCCAACAAATCTGGTCTACTGACTCCTTAGTAGTCAGACAAAGGAGTGATTTGCAGAGCTAATTTTTTTTAACAGAAAAGAGGAATTACAAATTAAGTAATGCTGGGAAAATAGTTTTGACCTATTCGATTAGACAAGGTAGGTCAAGCACTCTTTTCTACCTCATCAAAAGCACTACACAGGTTGTTCCTCCAAAGTCTTAGTATGGCTTTAATCTATTAAAGCTGACTGGTAAGCTACTAAAGCTTAAGACTTTGTGTGTGCTAAGACTTTGTGTGCGTGTGTGTGTGTGTGTGTGTGTGTGTGTGTGTGACAGAGACAGAAAGTAACAGAGACAGAGAGACAAAGAGACAGAAAGAGACACATACAGAGGAGAGACAAAGATACACAGAGACAGAGAGAAAAAGATAGGAGACAGAGTGAGACACAAAGAGACAGAGAAATTCCACCCCTTGCCTCAACAATCTGTTCCCGTATTTTATGCCACAATCTTATTTCTTATACAGACACTAACTTGTGTAATCTTGAACAATTTATTTCATTTCTCTGGACCTCATTTACCTCATCTGTAAAATGGAGGAAGTTGAACTAGATAATTTATGATCTTAACATTTCCAACTATAACACTCCACAATTTTCTGTTGCCTTGGGGCTGTAATGAAGTAGATAAGAGAAAGTGAAGTGAGTTGTCCAAAGTTATCTAGCTGGTTCATAGCCAGACCTGAGATTAGAAGCCCAGGCCTCCAAACACCATAATGTTCTTATCTCTTGGCAGAATCTAGGGTATCTCCCCAAACTCAAAGTTTTTTCTAAGACTTGCAGGATTCTCTAAACACCTCATTTCTCCTCCTCTCTCTGATGTGACCACATTTCACTATTTTGGCACAGAAAAGAAAGGAAGGCAAGTAAAGAAAGACAATTAAGAAATTGTCATAAAAGAGAGAGAACACCCTGAGCCCAACATTGTCATTTATGACAATAAATCAGAAACTTATGATTTTTAGCAAGTTACTTCCTAAAGCACCTCTCTGAGTCTCAGTGTCTTCATCTGTTAAATGGGAGCAATAATATTTACAATACCTGTATCACCTATAACGAAAGCACTATGTAAACCATAAAGTGCCATATTGTTGTTCCTGGCTCTGAGTTTCTTTCCAGATCTTTTTCCTGAGTCAGACATTGAGATGAGCACAGTTAGTGATATCAAGTAAGAAGAGAAGTCAAGATACCAGGCTCTTTACTGCTAAAAAGTTCCATCCAGGTCCAAATTCTATGATCTTTTTAATCACTACCTGAAGTCTTTTTGTAATTGTCAGCATTTATTTTTAAAAAATCTATTTAGTATTTTATTTTCCCCAATTACTTGTAAAAACAATTTTTAACATTCATTTTTAAAACTGTGAGTTCCAAATTCTCTCCTTTTCTCCTTCCCTAACCCCTCCCTCAGTGAGAAGGTAAGCAATTTGATATAGGTTATACACATGTAGTAATGCAAAACATTTTTATATTAGTCATATTGTGAAAGAGAACATAGACAAAAAATGAAGAAAAATAAAGTTTAAGAAGTATGCTTCAATCTGTGTTCAGACACCATCAGTTATTTCTCTAGGGATGGATAGCATTTTTCATCATAAGTCCTTCAGAATTGTCTTGGATCACTGTATTGCTGAGAGCAGTTAAGTCATTCACAGCTGATAATCTCATGATATTGCTGTTACTTTTTACACAGCACATTTCACTTTGCATCAGCTTATGTAAGTCTCTCCAGGCTTTCTGAGAGCATCCTGCTCATCATTTCTTATAGTACAATAGTATTTCATCATAATCACACGCCACAATTTGTTCAGCCATCCCTCAATTGATGGGCATCTCCTTAATTTCCAATTGTTTGCCACCAGAAAAGAGTTGCTACAAATATTTTTGTACATATAGTTCTTTTTCCTTTTTGTTTTTTTATCTCTTTTGGGATACAGACTTACTAGTGGTATTGCTAGCTCAAAGGCTAAGCATGATTTTATAGCCCTTTGAGTATAGTTCCAAATTGCTCCACAGAATGGTTGAATCAGTTCACAACTCCACCAACAGTGCATTAAAGTCTCATTTTTCCCACATCCCCTCCAACATTTGTCATTTATCTTTTCTGTCCTATTAGCTAGTCTAGTAAGTATGAGGTAGTATCTCAGAATTGTTTTAATTTGTATTTCTCCAATCAATAGTGAGTTAAAGCATTTTTTCATATGGCTATAGATAACTTTGATTACTTCATCTGAAAACTGTTCATATGTTTTGATCATTTATCAATTGGGGAATGATTCTTATTTTTATATATTTGACTCAGTTCTCTATATGTTTTGGAAATGAGGCCTTTATCAGAAAAACTTGTTTCAAAAATTTTTTCACAATTACTATTACTGTTTCCCTCCATCAGACCCTGCACCCTGTTTATTCTATTCTCTCTCTCCTTTCACCCTGCCCCTCCTCAAAAGTGTTTTGTTTCTGACTACCCCTTCCCCTAATCTGCCCTCCTTTCTATCACTCCCCCCCCTTTTTATCCTCTTCCTTTCCTACTTTCCTGTAGGGTAAGTAAGATAGATTTCTATACCCAATTAAATGTGTATGTTATTCCCTCTTTGAGCCAATTCTGATGAGAGTAAGGTTCATTTACTCCCCCTCACCCCCTCCCTTTCCCCTCCACTGTAAAAGTTTTTTCTTGCCTCTTTTATGCAAGATAATTTATCTCATTCTACCTCTCCTTTTCCCTTTCTCTCAGGGCATTCATCTTTCTCACACCTTAATTTCTTTCTTTCTCTCTTTTTTTTTTTTAGATATCATCCCTTCATATTCAACTCACACCTGTGCTCTCCATCTATATGTACTCCTTCTAACTGCCCCAATAATGAGAAAGTTCTTATGAGTTACAAGTATCATCTTCCCACATAGGAATGTAAATCGTTTAAACTTTATTAAGTCCCTTATAATTTCCCTTTCCTGTTTACCTTTTTATGCTTCTCTTGAGTCTTGTATTTGAAAGTCAAATTTTCCATTCAGCTCTGGTCTTTTTATCAAGAATGCTTGAAAGTCCTCTATTTCATTAAATATCTATGTTTTCCTCTGAAGGATTATACTCAGTTTTGCTGGGTAGGTGATTCTTGGTTAAAATCCTAAATCCTTTGACCTCCAGAATATCATATTCAAGCCCTCCAATCCTTTAATGTAGAAGCTGCTAAATCTTATGTTATCCTGACTGTGATTCCATGATACTTGAGTTGTTTCTTTCTGGCTGCTTGCAATATTTTTTCCTTGATCTGGGAGCTCTGGAATTTGACTATAATATTCTTGGGAGTTTTCATTTTGGGATCTGTTTGAGGAGGTGATTGGTGGATTCTTTCCATTTGTATTTTACCCTTTGGTTCTAGAATATGAGGGCTGTTTGCCCTGATAATTTCTTGAAAGATGATATCTAGGCTCTTTTTTTGATCATGGCTTTCAGGAAGTGCAATAATTTTTAAATGATCTTTCCTTGAACTGTTTTCTAGGTCAGTTGTTTTTCCAGTGAGATATTTCACATTGTCTTCCATTGTTTCATTCTTTTGGTTTTGTTTTATTGTTTTTTGATTTCTCATAGAGTCCTTAGCTTCCATTTTCTCAATTCTAAGTTCTAAGGAATTATTTTCTTCAGTGAACTTCCTTTTCCATTTGGTCAATTCTGCTTCTCAAGGCATTCTTCTCCTTTTTGTCTTTTTGGACTTCTTTTACCATTTGACCTAGTCTTTTTTAAAGTGTTATTTTCTTCAATATTCTTTTTCTCCTTTACCCAGTTATTGACTTGTTCTTCATGCTTTTCTTGCATCACTCTTATTTCTCTTTCCAATTTTTCTTCTACCTCTCTTCTTGATTTTCAAAATACTTTTTGAGCTCTTCTAAGGCCTGAGACCAATTCATATTTCTCATGGAGGGTCTTGGAGCTTTGATTTTGTTATCTTCTTCTGAGCGTATATTTTGATCTTCCTTGTCACCATAGTAACTTTCTATGGTGAGAATTTTTTTTTTCTGTTGTTGTTTGCTTATTTTTCCAGCTTATTTCTTGACTTTTAACTCTTTGTTAAAGTGAGGATCTGCTTCCAGGTTATTGGCTCACTGCCCCAAGCTTCAGGGGTTTTGTGCAGCTGTTTTCAGAGCTACTTCTAGGGACCTGTAAGGTTTTAGTTCTTCCAAGGTGGTATGATCTAAGGAGAGACATGTTTACCACTCTCCTGACCTGTGCTCTGGTCTGTGAGTGACCACAAACACTCTTTTATGCTCTGGAACTGTGGTGAGGGTCCCTGCTCCACTGCAGCAGCAAGTTCTGATGTGCTCATACTCCTCCTCACCCTGGGACTACCACTCAAGATTATGACCCAGGTCAGAGTATGGGCAAAGTAACAAGAATCCTGCCTCAGTGCTAGCAGAAAGACCCCTGTAATCTCCTTTTGACCAATTGTTTAACTGCCCAATCATCTGTGGGCTGAGAGCTCTGGAAGCAGCTACTACCGCTGCTGATTCAGTGGCTCCCAGGGCCTGTTCCTGGTTTGTAGGGGGGCCTGTCTATGCTGGCATGGCCTACGCCGGACTGTGCTCCACTCTTACCCAGGCGTGACAGACCTTTCCTGCCAACCTCCTAAGTTCTCTTTGACTGGAAAATTATTTTACCTGGTCCTTTTGTGGGTTCTGCCACTCTAGGAACTGTTTTATGGCATTATTTAAAGGTATTTGAAGGGGTTTTGGGGAGAGCTCAGGTGAGTCACTGCCTTTTCTCGACCATCTTCCACTCCCTGAAGTCCTGACCTTCTTTTACTCAATAATCTCCAAACCAGGAATTCTGCAGATTACAATGTTAGAAGATTCTCTGTTCAGGCAGCCTATCATCAAACTTAGAGGGCAATACACAAATGGAAGAAACCCAGAGGTACCCAGTGAACTCTCACTAATCCATGGGCAGTGTTCAGTTTCTGGGTTATCCAATTCATTCATTTCCTGTGTTTCCCTTGTCTACATGAACATTGTGCTTCTCATCCTAAAGTAGAACAGAGCTGGATAGCAAACTTAAATTCTGCCATTTGACTATTGGAAACAGCTTACTCATGCCTGACTGATCGATTAAAAAAACATTTATTAAGTGCTGTTTTTGTGCATACAACTGTACTTAGTGATAGGGATACAAAGAGAAAAGTATGATAGCCCCTGCTCTCAAGGAGATACCATTATAATAGAGAGATACAATACATATGGAAGTTTCCAGTTGAAAAGATCAATGGAAAAGCTCTTGGGGTGCAATGGGCAAGGCAGATGATAATTCATATTCTTTAGTATCTTTTCCATCAATAAAACTACATATATTTCTGATGCCGAATCATTTGACAATACCAGGGACTCTTACGGTAAGTACTTTATTTTCCAAGACTTCAATAGTTGTGGTTGCTGAAAAGGTGGGCCTACAATACCCACAGAGGTAGTAGTCAAGGATGCACATCCACATAGGTTCCTTCCCTGGATAATAGCTGTGGGGGCCAATGATCAAGGTTCATTGCTATTCCCAGTGCTCTTGCCTTAATTGACTGTGGGTGGCGGTTGGGTGTGTCCAGCACTGAGTGGAAAAGAGATACAAATTGATGATTGGCAAAAGGCCTATTGATTATCTATGGATTTAAATTATTCCATTCAATAACAAACATTTATTAAATTAAATTATGGATGCTACCAATGTCCCTTTGACCATAAAGTTTAGATCAGTTTATATAAAACATTGACAGCTCTTTTTTATATAAAATCCAATAATGGTCAAGTTCTGACTAATCTCTCTATCCCAGGGCGTATATGAAAAGTATGCTAATTAAATAGTTTTTCTTTCTTTATCATAGGATGATAAGTTATAATATTGGAAAGAACCTTGGAGTTCATCCAGTCCAACCCCCATATTTTATAGGTGAGGAAATTGAGGCTCAAGGTCACATACGGACCGGGCAACAAGGTTGAGTAGTGGTCTTTCTGTTCTATCGCAGTGCCTCCCCTACCTGTAATTCCCTCTATGAAAGTGTTTCCCACAGCTCCCCAGATATAAGCACAACAGAAGAAAGACATTTCAAGAAACCTGCATTGTTGCATAGCTTTGTTTTGATGCTTTGTCTGATGTTCCAGGTTAAAGGGAAGTAGGTAAGAGGTTGGATTGAGTCAGGAATAGGGTTGGGGGAAGTGAAGTCTCAGGCATTTGGAGAAACTTCACTGAATTTTGAAAGGAGAACACTCTAGCCAGCTCACATTGTATTCTATTCTTGGCTGGAACAATGAGAGCTTCCTGTGGAAATTCTCAGTTCACCTTAATTCCAGGGCTGTGCATGATAATCACAACAATAATAATAACTCACATTTCTATAGTGCTACAAGGTTTACAGAGCACTTTCCTGAAGGTAGCCTTGAACAACAAAGGCTGGGGGAATTGAGGAACTACGATCAATGTTCAGGGCCACAGATGTTTAGAAGGAACTTTAGGTCAAAAGAAATTCAAGCACTGACTTTAAAGAAATGCAGATGAAACACACATCCTTCTTCTCCCCATTTTTTGTTCCAGGCATCCTATCACTTTTGACCTGAGATGGTGTATATCCCAGATATCTCTCATTCATCCCAGAGTTCCTCTCTGTTCAGTTGTCTCCTCTTCCTTCTCTATCTCGTGGAGCTGAATGCGGGTAAGATGTGTTATTGTCACAAAACAACCTAAATACCCCTCCTTCACCATTTTGTCAGTTTCACAATTCATTCTTCCTCCATTGCCCTGTCCAACAGTCCAAAGTTAGAAGGGTCTTCAGAACTGTAGTTTAAAGTGTGGGAGTCAGCAAGTCTCACTTAGGACATTTATATCAGCATTACAACCTATGACCATCCTTAACTAGCCCTTATTATATCATTCATTTGGTTAATGTATTGGCTAAATCATACAGTTACTCTATAATCTGCCCTTTCCATTGCCCTCATCAGTGTGTTTGTGGTTAGAAAGACATAGGTCATTGAATCTAGAGGCCAACAGACCTCAGACATCATCTATTCCAGGGGACAACAAACTATGGTCTGAGGGTTATATCTGATCCCCTGCCTGTTTTATACCACCCACAACCTAAAAATGGTTTTTACATTAGTGTAAATGGTTGGGGGGAGAGGGAGTGGATAGAGGCCCAGGCCTGGTGGCAGTAAGATTAATCTTTCTGAATTCAAATCTGGCCTCAGACACTTACTAGCTGTGTGCCCTGAGGCAAGTCATTTAACCCTGTTTGCCTCAGTTTCTTCATCTGTTAAAAAAAAAAGCTTGAAAAGGAAATAGCAAATCATTCCAGTATTTTTGCCAAGAAAACCCCAAGTAGGGTCATGAAGAGTCAGATATGATTGAAAAATGACTGTACAACAACAACAAAAAAGTTTTTACACAAATATAAGACCCTTGGCCCTTGGGTCATAATTTGTCAATTCTTGATCTAGTCCAACTTCCCTTATGAGGAAACTGAGGCCCAGAGATATGAAATGATTTGCCTGAGGACGTAAAGGAAGGAGCTAATGGAGCTGGGATTTGAACTGAGGTCTTTTAACTCCTGAAACTGGTTTTCTTTTTACTATGCCACATGGTCCTGTTGTTGCCCAACTTTCCCCTGTTAGAAACCTGATCAACAAATTCACACTAAAATGTTAATGACTAATAATCACTTAATATCATCAAACAGTTGTTCATTAAATTATGAATGACTTTGGTTCCAGCAACTTATGCCACATCAGTGTGAAAGTATCTGCATGCATGAAATGACAAATCTTTTCAAATTTTCAAATTATGCTACTTTTAGCAAGAGGAGTGACATCATAAAAGAGGTTAAAGTTTAAGGCTAGGACCCTTCAAGTAATACCATGAAAACAATCTTTCCCTCTCTTCCCTCAATTAAACACCTAACTGAAAATGGTATTGTGCTTGGAGTTACACAGAACAAATTACCTGATGTAAGCTTCCTAGGTGCTCAGTTTATGAAAGAAACACCGTGATACAGAGAGATATATGGGATACCTACCAACTGTTAAATACGTACCACCTGGGAACATCCCAGACAAACTATTCCAAGTTCAACATACTCTGAGGGTCCATATCCATGTGTTCACTTATACTAATTAACTGGAAGACACAATTAGTTCAAAAATGAAATAGCATAGGAAAAAACTAGAAAGACATGTCCTCCTTAATGTCCCCACTACATTCCTTCAGAAACTTTTTAGGGTTTCCCTTTCAACAAAACACTAAGAAATATCTGAGTCTCTGAGACTCCCCTATTTTTCTCAACTCTGAGAGATTATTTTTGGTCATATAAGCAAATGAACAGAAGGAGAAAAGCAAAGTAAAAAACCACCTTAGGTAGTTCAAGGTATGGCTATCCACCTCAATCCCATGTTCTAAATTCTTCCTTTTACTATGTATATAGAATGATATAAGAAGGGAATATGCAACTACAGTACCCACTATGTGCCAACCTCTATGCTAAGTGTTTTACAAATATTATCTCATTTGATTCTTACATAATCCTGTCAGGTAAGTGCTATTATTATCCCCATTTTACAGTTGAGAAAACTGAGGCAATCAGAGGTTAAATGACTTGCCCAAGGTCATAGCTAGTAAGTATCTGAGGTCAAATTTGAACTCAGATCTTCCTGATTCCAGGTCTAGCACTCCATCCACAGAACCACCAGCTGCCTAGTCATATATCTCAAGCTAAAAGAGACCTCGGAGGCCACAGAATCTCTCATTTTACAGATAAAACAATTGAGGCTCACGGATTTGCCCAATATCACAGGGTTAGTAAGTGTCAGAAGAGGATTTGAACCTAGATGCTCTGAACTCAGGGCCAATGCTTTTTCCATTGTACCAAGAATAGAGGTATGTGGTTAGCAATAATTTTGGAGTCACATATAAATAAAAAGTACTAAAGACACTATGAAAAAAATTAGTTATATTATATGATTGAATTCTGAGGTTCTGTTGGGCAAAGAGGAATTAAGGAAAGTCATCAAGTCTCTTCTAGTAGTTCTGGGAGAGTTTCTTAAAGAAATAGAATATCAGGAGATACAATATCTATTGAAGATTCACAGTATGTTGGGTGATGACTCAAGTACTATCTGTGAATAGTGGAGAAATAGGAGACGTGATCTTTGTGTTCATGGAACCTATATCCTACGGTATTTGGGAGGAGCATGCACATGGCCACGTTCCCCATACCCCATATGAAAAAAAAAGTAAATTAATTTGCAGCAGAGTAGGGTTGGGCCTAATTCTGGCCAGTCCTCTCATTGTTTTTGCCTGATATCGGAACGAAATGAGACTCTTACAACTTATTCAACAGTTAACAAAAGAAGTTTTACAATCATAGCAGAAGGGGAAGGGAAAGGAAGAAATAGTTATATAGCACCTTCTATGTGCCAGGCATTGCACTAAACAGGTTTTACAAATATTATGTCATTTTTATCTTCACAAAAATCTTGAAAGTAAGGTCCTATAATTATTCCAATTGTTACAGAGAAGGAAACTGAAGCAAAGTTTAAGTGACTAGGTTATTCAACAAAGATATTGTTGAGAAGACCCTGAGTTGGTTCAGCTGAGTAAAACAAATGTGTAGGGAGTTCCTTGTGGCTGTTTTGTACTTGATAACCAGGAAGTGATGTCAATAATCTGAGCCATTAATCCCTCAAACCAATCAAGTCTCAAAATGGTTTCAATGCCTATTAAGGAAAAACTAGCCTAACTTTTGGGAAGGAGGTGGATACTGTTTCCACTAGAGCAGTGTTGCACAGCATACAGCCCAAGGGCCCTTTATGGCCCACCAAAGTAGCCCAAAGGTGGTATGTTGTGCAGGCCTGCACTAGGGAATGTGAAATGCCAAGAGAACACAAATTAAATGAGTGATTGGTGCAATTCATAGGGATATCTTTGTAGAGGTGGGATTTTAGTTGGAGTTTTTAAAAAACTGAAAGAAACAGGTTGGTGAAGAGATGAAGAGGAACATATTCTAGGCAGAGAAATGACTTGTGGAAAAAAATGGAGGCAAGAATAGGTACATTATGTTGCAGGGACGGGAAAAGCAGGTTGGCCTGACTGGTTCATAGAGGGGTATCTGTGGGCATTTTAACAGATGAATCAAGGGAAAAAATCTGGTAGGAAGTTCTAGAAGGCTAGACTAAAGTGTTTGGATTAGATATGGTGAGAAACAAGGACACCTTGTAAGCTCTTAGGTAGAGGATTAATATTTGAAGTTTTTTTTAAAGCACTTGTGTGATGGCTTCTTTATTGCAGAAGATGGATTGGTGATTGGTCATAGAGAGCCAGTTCTGGCCATGGTTGGGGAGGAGGTGGAGTTTCCCTGCTACCTACCTTCCAAACGGAATGCAGAAGACATGGAGATCCGTTTTTTCCGGAACAAAGTCTCTGAAATTGTCTTTATCTACCAAGATAGGCAGGAGCTATTCAACAGACAAATGGTAGAGTACCAGAACCGGGCACAATTAGTAAAGGATTACATCCAGGAGGGGACTGTGGCCCTGCACCTTTTCCACATTATCCCTGCTGATGAGGGTCAATATGGATGCCTTTTTCAATCCAAAGACTTCTCCAACAGTGCTACCTGGGAGTTGGAAGTTGCAGGTAGGTGATCAATTTTCCTTGAAGAAGGGGGCAGAATGAGAGAAATTGATTTGAAACTCTTTTGAAAGGGAGCTAGGTTGATCATGGAGACATTTAGTGCCACTAAATGCAAGAGTAGGATTCTAAAGAAATATAAGACATCATCCCAAGTTTTAGGAAGGTCATAGCCTAATTATAAGAGACCTTCACCTCCACCCAATAATGCTCACATGTGCATGTATGTGCACACACTCACATACACACACAGAGTATGAGGTAAAACAATCACAAAGTAAAATGGATAGAAAAAGTGAACAAGTTAATGAAAAATAATTTATTAAGTGCTTACTCTGTGCCAGACATTGTGATAAGCACTCGGGATATAAATACAAATCAGAAAAACAGCTCTTAACCTCAAGGAGCTTACATTTTATTTGAAGAAGAAAACATATAGGGTAATGATGGCTAAGAGCAGTGTTTGGGACAGAGAAGTCAGAAGGATGGTGTTTGGAACCATCGGCATAGCTTTTTCAGGAATGGTAATGTTTTGATTGTGGTTCTCAGAGCTAGAGGTAGAAAGGGGCAGGGGGAGGAGGAAAGCATGCATGTACGATATAGAATGGCACAGAGATGGTTGGGAAGTAACTTGGTGAGTCTGGCTCTGGGCAAAATGAGATATTAAATGCTTGCCAATAAGGGTCCCAGGATGTGAGCTCAAGTTCCTAGTCAGTGCTAGAGGTTGGAAGGCAAGAGTGTGGCATCTTTAAAATGACCATGGAGTGATGTGGTAGATCTGGGCAAATGAATTTGATAAACTGTAGTGCAAATTGAATATGTGATTGTTGAGAAAAAAGTGAATTTGCTTGGATTTCCTTTGTTTCCCCAGGACTAGGCTCAGATCCACATATCTACTTTGAAGGTTTTGAAGAAGGAGGCATCCAATTGAGATGCAGTTCTGAAGGCTGGTACCCCAGACCAAAGGCGATATGGAAAGATTATCAAGGGCAACAACTACTCTCCCTATCAGAAGCTATAACCCAGGATGCTCAGGGACTGTTCCACGTGGAAATGTCTGTGGTGGTCAAAGAGGGAGCCCATAGCAATGTGGTTTGTTCCATCCAGAATACCCTCTTAGTGCAGAAGAAAGAATTTACAGTTCATATAGCAGGTCAGTGGATGGAATCATAATTTTCATCTTAATTGTCCTCATTTAATTAATAATTTACTTTTTTTTGTTTTTTTCTTTATTTAGTATTTCATTTTCCCTCAGTTACATGGAAAACAATTCTTAACATTCCTTTGAGCTCCAAATTCTCCCCCTTCTTCCCTCCCCAACCCCCATTGAGAAGGTAAGTAATTCAATATAGGTTATACACGTGTAGTTATGCAAAACATATCCATAATAGTCATGTTGTGAAAGAAAGCATAGACAAGGAAAAAAACCTCAAGAAAAATCAAGAAAGTAAAAAAAAAAGTATGCTTCAATCTGTATTCAGATACCATCAGTTCTTTCCATGGGGATGGGTAGCATTTTTCATTTTAAGTCCTTCAGAATTGTGTTGGATCATTGCATTGCTTAGAATAGCTGTATTCATAGCTGATCATCTTACAATTTTTCTGTTACTTTGTGCACAATACATTTCACTTCATATCAGCCATGCCAGTCTTCCTAAGTTTTTCTGGGAGCACCGTGCTCGTAATTTCTTATAGTACAACAGTATTACATCATAATCGCATATCACAATTTGTTCAACCATGTCCAAATTGATGGGCATCCCCTCAACTTCTAACTCTTTACCCCCAGAAAAGAGTTGCTATAAATATTTTTGTCTGTATAGGTCCTTTTCCTTTTTTTTTTTTTTAATCTCTTTTGGGATACAGACCTAGTAGTGGTATTGCTAGCTCAAACGCTATGCATGGTTTTATAGTCTTTTGGGCATAGTTTCGAATTGCTGTACAGAGTGGTTGAATCAGTTCAAAACTCCACCAACAGTGCATTAAAGTCTCATTTTTCCCACATCCCCTCCAGCATTTGTCATTTATCTTTTCTGTCCTATTAGCCAATCTAATAGGTATGTGATAGTACCTCAGAATTGTTTTAATTTGTATTTCTCCAATTAATACTGACTTAGAGTATTATTTTATATGGTTATAGATAGCTTTGATTACTTCATCTGAAAACTGTTCATATCTTTTAATCATTTATCAATTTGGGAATGGCTCTTATTTTTATATATTTGACTCAGTTCTCTCTATGTTGGAGAAATGAGGCTTTTATTAGAGAAACTTGCTTCAAAATTTTTTCAGTTACTATTGCTAATTGTATTTCATTCTATCCTATCCCCCCCTTTATTCTATTCTTTCTCTCCTTTCACCCTGTCCCTCCTTAAAAGTGTTTTGCTTCTGACTACCTCTTCCCCCAATTTGCCCTCCCTTCTACCACCGCCCCCCTTCATTCTCTTATCCTCTTCCCCTCTTACTCTCCTGTAGGGTAAATAAGATAGATTTGTGTATATTATTTCCACTTTGAGCCAATTCTGATGAAAGTAAGGTTCATTCACTCCCTCTCACCTCCTTCCTCCTCCCTTCCACTGTAAAAGCTTTTTCTTGCCTCTTTTATGTGAGATAATTTACCCCATTCTACCTCTCCCTTTCTCTTCCTACTAGAGCATTCCTCTTTCTCACACCTTAATTTTATTTTTTAGATATCATCGCTTCATATTCAATTCACACCTGCTCCCTCTATTGATATATACTCCATCTAACTACCCTAATAATGAGAAAGGTCTTATAAGTTACAAATATCATCTTCCCATGTAGGAATGTAAACAGTTTAAACTTATTAAGTCCCTTCCCTTTCCTGTTTACCTTTTGATGCTTCTCTCGAGTTTTGTATTTGAAGTCAAATTTTCTGTTCAGCTCTGATCTTTTTATCAGGAATGCTTGAAAGTTCTCTATCTCATTGAGTTTCCATTTTTTTCCCCTGAATAATTATACTCAGTTTTGCTGGGTAGGTGATTTTTGATTGTAATTCTAGCTCCTTTGCCCTTCAGAATATCATATTCCAAGCCCTCCAATCCTTTAAGGTAGAAGTTGCTAAATCTTGTGTTATCCTGGCTGTGGCTACTTGAATTGTTTCTTTCTGGCTGCTTGCAATATTTTCTCTGGGAACTCTGGAATTTGGCTATAATATTCCTGGGAGTTTTAATTTTAGGATCTCTTTGAGGAGGTGATTGGTGGATTCTTTTGATTTCTATTTTACCCTCTGTTCTAGAATATCAGGACAGTTTTCCTTGATAATTTCTTGAAAGATGATGTCTAAGCTCTTTTTTTGATCATGGCTTTTGGTAATCTAATAATTTTAAAATTATCTTTCTAGGATCTATTTTCCAGGTCAGTTGTCTTTCCAATGAGATATTTCACATTGTCTTATTTTTTTTCATTATTTTGATTTTGTTTTATTGTTTCTTGATTTCTCATAAAGTCATTAGCTTCCATTTGCTCCATTCTAATTTTTAAGGAATTCTTTTCTTCAGTGAGCTTTTGGACCTTTTTTCCATTTGACCAGTTTTACTTTTTAAGTATTCTTTTCCTCATTTGCTTTTTGGATCTTTTTTTTTTTTAACCATTTGTCCTAGTCTATTTTTAAAGTGCTATTTTCTTCAGTATTTTTTTTTGTGTCTCCTTTACTAAGCTGTTGACTCATTTATGATTTTCTTACATTATTCTCATTTCTCTTCCTAATTTTTCCCCTACTTTTCTTACTTGATTTTCAAAATCCTTTTTGAGCCCTTCCATGGCCTGAGACCAATTCATATTTTTCTTGGAGGCTTTGGATGTAGGAGCTTTGACTTTATTGTCTTTTGAGTGTATATTTTGATCTTCCTTGTCACCATAGTAACTTTCAATAATTAAGAGTTTTTTCCCCTTATTTGCTTATTTTCCTAGCCTGTTAGCTGACTTTTAAGTCTTTGTTAAAGTAGGGCTCTGCTTCCAGGGTGGAGGGTGCACTGTCCTGAGCTTCAGTTTTTGTGCAGTTGTTTTCAGAGATATTTCTAGTGACTTGTAAGTTTTCAGTTCTTCCAAGATGGTATGATCTAAGGAGAGATGTTTACTACTCTCCTGGCCTGTACTGTGTTCTGTGAGTGACCACAAGCACTCTTTTCTGCTCTGGCATTGTGATAAGGGTGCCTGCTCCATTGTGGCTGCTAGCTCTGCTATGCTAGAGCTCCTCCTTACCCTGGGACTGCCACCCAGAACTGTGACCTGGACTCGGGTATGGGCAAAGCAACAGAGTCCTGCTTCAGAGCTAGCAAAAAAGACCCCTGTAATCTCCTTCTGACCAGTTGTTCAATCCCTTTACCATCTATGGGCTGAGAGCTCCAGAAGTAGCTACTGCCGCTGCTGATTCAGTGGCTCCCAAGGCCTGTTTCTGGTTTGCTGGGGCAGGGGCTATGCTGGTGTGGCCTGCACTGGACTGCTCTCCTCTCTCACCATGGTGCAACAGACCTTTCCTGCTGACTTTCCAAGTTGTCTTGGCCTAGAAATTTGTTTCACTTTCTTTTTGTGGGTTCTGCTACTCTAGAATTTGTGTATTATCATTTAAAAAAAGTATTTGGAGGGGTTTGGGGGACAGCCCAGCTGAGTCCCTGCCTTTACTCCACCATCTTGGCTCTGCCTCCTTAATAATAATTTTCTTTTTAATTATCATCATACTAAAGCCTTTACAGAGTTAAGTTTACCTAAAACAGTGAGGGTGTTTGGGCACACCCTGGGAGAGCATTCCCATTTGACCCTTCCCCACTGCTCTATAAATACCTGCGTTTAAGTGCTTAATTACATATGTAACCACTTGGGGGAGCTTGTGAGCAAGTTTAGACATGTAGAATCCCAGAACTGCTGTGGTAGCATTGCTATATCAATCAAACGTGTATCTGAAGGTCCCTAGCAAGCTGCTGGGAGAATTCCCACTTTTCCCTTTCCCCTTAGAGGTTAGTTCTTAAATGCATAGGGAAAAGCCCTAAACTTCTCATAGAAGTCATGGTAATATTTATTGTCCCACATACTCAAAGTCTCCTTTACCTAAGGAGAGGTTTTCTTTTTTTCCCCTCTTCGGTAAGGCTTGTGAAAGTTAATACTGCATTCTCTTTCTCTGCGCCTTTTTGCTCCAGCCCCTAAACCATCATTGCCTGACAAAATTTGTCTCTCATCTCTGATATGAACAATTCCTATTCTCAGTGCTCTCCTACCCAACCCTGTCTATATCTGTACATTAAGGTATTCCCATTAAATAGCCTGGTTTTTTTGTTGGACAGAAATTTTTTTTTATCACATTTATTGGCTTAGGGAAGAAAGTAACAGCTGAGGGAAAGGATTAAACTTCCAAACCCCAAGCTGCCTTTTCAACAGCTTATTGGAGTTAACTAATAGCAGGGAATTCAAAAGTGAGGGTGATTCAGGCAATAAACAGAAAGGAGCTCCCCCTGCTCTATGGATAGGAGGAAGGACAGGGGAAGGAAGGGAAAGAAAGACAGTATGGTTTGGGGGTTTGTATAGAATGCCTGGTCATGATAGTATCTACCACACCAGATCACCCACTTCTTACTATTGTTTCTCTGTTGCAATTCTCAACAGTCATGGGGGTAATTTGACCTGATTCCCCTTCTAGCCCAGCATGGCTTCTTCTGCAGCTATTTGTGATAGCCTCACGTACTCCTTCTTACCACAAGCACCTTTAAACTTAAGGTTGGGGGCAGACTCCCAAACTTGAGAATGCTGAGTAACCTACCCCACAGCAGGTAGATTCCCTCCCCCATGTCTTTTGAGTCATTCTCTCTCTGTGGGCAAAGACAAAGGCAGGTTATATTCTTTAATAGGGTGAGAAATTTTGCAGCCCCTTGCAAAATCTGCTGAGGTATACTTTACCTTTGTAAATACACTCACATATACACAAATATACACACATACATGAAAACATACATACATACATACATACATATACATATATATATCACAATCTTCAAAATAAACATCAACACTTAAGGGAGCAAAGATGACAGTGATGTCAATCTTAGGTTAGTAATGATGACATATTGTTGAATATTACAGATGTATTTTTACCCAAAAACTCTGCCTGGAGAGGAGCATTCATTGGAACCTTCATGGGGCTAACTATCATTCTGGTGCTCTTCATGATTCTGGCATTCTATTTCTTCCGGAAGCAATGGAGATCCCAAGGTAAAATGGCAATCCCAGCTTTGGCCTCACTCATAAAAAAAAAAAATAAGGTGGTGTGCACCAGAAGTGCCTACAATGTACTATACAAAGAGGACAAAATACGAGAACAAAGTATGACAGTACTATAAGAGGTTATATATATATATAGAGGTTAGGCAGAAGGAAAATGAATTCTTCCCTTGAAAGAAGATTTAACCAGTGTGCTTTGGGAAAGGCTGTCTGGGTTACAGGAAACCTGGTACTTGAAGTCATAAAGAAGACAAAGATTACCTTTGGATATTTCAGTGCAAAAATTGGTTGCTAATAAACAGAGATTCTTAACCTAGGGTCTGTGAACTTAAAAAAAATTGATAACTGTATTTTAATATAATTTGTTTCCTTTGTAATTCTATGTATTTTATTTTATACATTTAAAAACATTATTCTGGGAAGGGGTCCATAGATTTCACCAGATTGTCGAAGGGGTCTATGACACACACAAAAAGTTAAGAACCTCTACTTAAAAGAAGAGCCTATGATGATCCAGAATAACTCTTTTTAAAATCTTCTCTTTCTTCTTCCTAGAAAAACTGAAGGAAAAATCAGAGAAGGAAAAAGGTAAATGGAGGCAATAAGATTTGGGATAGCATCCTCTTAAACGAGGAAAAGGAATCTTAGATATCATCTAATTCAAACCTCTCATTTCACAGATAAGAAAGCTGAGGCCTAGAGCAAGTTTATGTTTGTATAGATAATTAGTGACATTTGGTACTAGAAAGAGATGGCTATCAAAGCTACGTAAGTGGTATGGGAAAAGGACAAGGGTCAAAAATGAATTGAGTGGGCAAAGGCTATTGGGAGCAAGGTTGTTATTTCTTCTTTCCTTCTGTTATTCTTCTCACTAGGAGAACTGTTTTCTTCCTAATGTGTAGGCTATGACTTTCCAAGAAAGTAACGGAGCATTTGCCCAAGAGCATGAGAAACACACAAACAAACATATTAAGACTCTCATTGGACTCAAAATATTAAATCCAATTTTTCCAATATTTTGTTTAAATTTGTAATTTCCTTTTGTTGATCTTCCTGTTATTTTTTTATTAGTATTTGTTAGATTATATCACTAGACTGACCTCTAGCTCTGTTACTCTGGTTTTCGCGATTCCAGAGTAAGACAGTCAGCCTCAGTGGTCTTAATTTCTAAAATATCCAGCTGGTGGCTTGACATTACTGGGATTTGCTTAGGCTACTGTAAGGAGTTGTCTTATCTTGCTAAAATATTTTTCTTTTTATTTCTCTTTCAGGAAAATTCACAGCTGAGCTGGGTAAGTTCTTTACTTGTTGGACAATAAGTCAGAGAGAAAAAAATAAAATGGTTTCAGGTCCACTACATGAAAAAAAAAACAACAGGATGGCATTCTATGTCATTCTCCTGTAATCGTTCTATTATTTAAAACATTGATAAATCAATTAAATAGTAGGGACAGTTTTACCAATAGGTAATATAGCATCATTTGAGGCATTGTGAGCTCCAGGAAGTCTTTTCCAAAATATCTATCCATTTAGATCCTACTAGAGCTCAAATTCCATCATTAGAAAATAATTCCTTTTTGTTGCTGTATCCTTTTAAAAAATGCAAATATTTGATGAGTTTTGACAAAACGTCTGGGTGAGCATGACTCAGATCAATTTTCTTCTATCACCTCAAAAAAGGAAATGAAAATGTACCAAATAAATAAAGGAACAATAACCAAAAAGAGGGTTAGAAAAAATCTCAGAGGAAAAACTTTTCAGGAAAAGTAACAGAGAAATGAGTAAACAAAGGAAAAAGAGAGATCAGAGCAGCTAGGTGGCACAGTGGATAGATCACCTGGAGTCAGGAGGACCAGAATTCAAATCTGGTCTCAGACCAGATACTTGACACTTACTAGCTGTGTGACCCTGGGCAACTTAACCCCAATTGCCTAAGCATAAAAAAAAAAAAAAGAAAAGAAAAGAAAAGAAAAAAGAAAGAAAAAAAGAGAAAAGAAAAAGAGAGCTCAATGCAATGAATAAATACTGTGGGTAAAAGAAATCAAGGAGAAATCTACAGAAGAACAAAACTACAACAATCAAAGCTATTCCTTCAAAAGAGAGGCTGGAGACCTATCATATGAACCTCTATCCTGGTTCAGAAACTTAAAGAAATAAAGGAAGGCCTGATAATAAATGAAGAAAAATAAGATCTTTGAACAAAAAAATACAAGTGGACAAACAAGAGAATTGACACCTTAGAAAAAAAACAGGGCAAGTTTGTAATAAAACAGTGTTCTCTGGAGTAAAATGAATCATGTGGAATATGCAAATGTGAAGTTGGCAGAACAAATAATAGAGCAAAATGTTTAAAAATAGCAAAATTAGAAGAGGAGTTTAGAGCACTAAAAACCAAAGTAACACAGCTAGAGGTCAGTCTGGTGATATAATCTAACAAATATTGATAAAAATAACAGAAAGATAAACAAGAAGGAAATTATAGATTTAAAAAAGTATTGGAAAAACTGGATTTCATATTTCTAATCCAATCAGAGTCTTAGTATGTTTGTGTGTGTACTTCTCAGCTATTTGGAATTTTTACAAAACTTAAAGCATAAAAAATGATAATTAAATTCAGATCTGCAGAAAAGCTATGTGTATCTTTTGAAGATCATAATGCAATAAAAATGTATTCAAAAAAGGAAAATATGGACAACAATGTAGGTATAAATGAGAATTAAAATGAGATCATAAACAATTAGCAGATCAAAGAACAAATAATAGAAAACAATGAAATCTGCATTAAAAAGAATACTAACAGTAAGATAACAAAAAATTTGTGGGATGATGCTACGATGGTTCTAAGAGGATACTCCATATACCTAAACATATATATACATATGTATGTATGTATGTATACACACGCACACACACACAAATAGGAAAAAAAAGAAGCCTAACAAATTTAGCATGCAATTAGTAAAACTAGAAAAATAATAAATTACTATTTCCAAAACAATCATAAAAGAGATTTTGAAAACTGAAGGGAAAATGAACAGAATGGTAAATATTATCCAAATGAGCAAAACAAAAGAGTCATTAAAAATTCAGAAAAGGAGAAACTAGGTGGCTTAATTGATAAAACACCCACCCCGGCATCAAAGGGATTCCAGTTCAAATCTGGCCTCAGGCACTTAGTAACTATGTGACTCTGGGCAAGTCACTTAACACCATTGTCTCAAAAAAAAAAGTTTTTAAAAAAGTTCAGAACATCAAATTATTAAAACCAAAAATGATAAGGGAAATTTTGCATCAAATAGAAAAGAAACAAAGACAATTATCAGAAACTACTGTGCCAGATTATTGCCAACAAAACTAAAAGCTTAAATGAAATTAATTTAAGCGAAAAGCAAACCAACCAAACAAACACGATATCCAAATTTACAAAACAGTAAATAACCTAGTCTTACAAAGAAAACATGGGCAAGTCATATGTGAATAATTTCTATAGAACAAACTCCAGGACTAGTCATATTTATAAATGAATTCTATCAAACATTTAAAGAAAAATAATCCATGTTTTCCAAATATGATGGAAACTCCCCAACAAACTTTTTCTATGAAAGAGATAGCTAGGTGGATAGAGCACTGAACTTGGAGTAAGGAAAACCTGATTTCAAATATGGCACCAGACCCTGGGCAAGTCACTTAACCCATCCTATACTCAAAGGAGATGGTATTTGTAGAGCAATCTGAAAACCTTAAAGAGTTATATAAATTCTAGCTATTATTGTTATTATATACAAAATCTTGATTTCCACATCAGAGACGGTAAACACAAAAATAAAATTGTAAGAATACTGTAATGCATATCTATACAAAAATACAAAATAAAATACTGATAAAGAGTATGGTACTACATTATCAAAAAAAAAAAAAATTTCATTATGACCAAGCTAGATTTTTATTCAGAATGCAAGAAACGCCAAATTCCACATTAGAAAAGCAGCTATAATAATAAATCATATTGCTTACAAAATACACAATCATATCAATAGAGGCAGAAAAAGTCTGACAAAATAAACACTCATTTATATTAAAAATACTTTCCATAATATATTCAAAAGAATTTCTCTAAAACCAAAATTTCACATTATTTGTAAAGAAATACTAGAAATTTTCCCAACAAAATCACGAGTAAAACAAGATGTCAACCATAACCACTATTGTTCGGCATTGTTCTAGAAAGCCTGGACATAGCAGAAAAGCAAACAAAAAAAGAAGTTGAGATTAAATATGAGCAAAGAGGTGGCAAAATTATTCCTCTTTGGAGCTGATGATGATCTACTTTCAAAGGATCAGAGGAGCTGGAAAGTGCCTGAGAGACCATCAAATCCAAACCTCTTTTATTACAGTTGAAGAAATCGAGGCCAAAGGAGGTTAAGAAACCAGCCCAAAATAACACAGATAGTAAATGTCAGGGGTGAAATTTGAGTGCTGGTCCTCTGATCTTAGAGCCAGTGATTGTTCCACTGTGCTACTTTAAATGAATTTATACCAATTAACTAAACATTTAATAACTAAGATATGAGTGAATTGCCAGATGCAGAAAGGTGCTTGCTTGAGAGCAGTCTTTGCAGGAAAGAGAAATGAAGGGCACAGGAGAGTGTAGAAATAAGAAAGGCTAATTTTGCCAGATTAGAACAATGAAATTTTAGAGCTGGAGGGAGCCTTAGGGATAATCTAATTCCTTCATTTTATAGATGAGGAAGCAAGTAGAGTGATTTACAATAGGTCAGACGTCTAGTTAATGGCAGAGCTGGGATTACAACTTCTGTTTCCTGAGGGTCAGGGTGCTCTTAACACTACATCACATTTCCTGGGACTGTGGAAATAGTGAGTGGAAAGAAACTCTTACCATGGATGTGCTGGAATCAGCTCTAACCACTCTTCAGCTGATTGTTAAATTTTCAATGTGAACATTTATATCTCAGAAATTGGCAACCACTACAAATCAGGGCTTGATTTATTGTTTTGTTGATTGTGTAGACTTAACAAAGTGATAAAGAAAATGTTAATAATGTAGACTAATAAAAGTGTGATGTGCACAGTTCTTTTTTGTTTTTGCATTTTTTAGAGACTGGGTTGTTAAACATTGACCAGCACACTCCTTCCTGCTCCTCCAAGTCCCAAACAAATTGTGAAGTTTTTCTTTAATGACCTTTGATGACGTCTTCCTTTTCTTCCTTCTGAACATTTTTTCCTTCTCTTAAGAGCTCTCTTTCCAACAAGTGTAAAGTGATTACTCTGACCACCAAAACTTCCAGGAAGTATATTTGATGTCACTAAGACCACAGTAGGGCAGGTAGGTGGTGCAGTGCTGGGACTGGAAGACCCGGGTTTAAATCTGGCCTTAGACTCTTACTAGCTGTGTGACCCTGAGCAAGTCACTTAATCCTGTTTGCCTCAGTTTCCTCATCTGTAAAATGAGCTGGAGAATATCTTTGCCAAGAAAACCCCAAATGAGGAGACAACTGAAAAATGACTAAACAAAGACTATGGTGTGAATTCATTTTTAATGGGATACCCTTGTCTATCTACAGAGTTCTAGGAATAAATATGTAATGATGGAACTAAGAACTCTTCAGTACCTAGGTCAGGGAACGATTTTTGGCAAGCTCCTTCCATCCTAGGTGATTATTCTGGTTTCCACACCTTATTTAGTTCTGAGTTTGTGCAGGTCCTGGTCAGGAAAAACAAATCACTAACAGCTCCTTTAAAATGAGCCTGATCATTAGGGAATGAAGGTGATGTGAAAACAAAATATATCAATAAAAATTTAATTAAAAAACTAGAGTAGAAAACAAAATGAAAACTGACCCCTTGGGAAAGACAAGAATGCTCTTTTTTTTTAAAGGCAATTGGGGTTAAGTGACTTGCCCAGGGTCACACAGATAGTAAGTGTCAAGTGTTTGGTCTGAGGCTGGATTTGAACTCAAGTCCTCCTGACTTCAAGGCCTGTGCTCTATCCACTGACGAATACTCTTGAACAGTGTTTGATGGGTTACTTTTAGACTAGTACCCTCTGCAGATTTCTACTCTTCAGTAGAACTACTATTTTCAGGTTAAGACTCCTGAAGAGGGCCTATAGAACGATCTAGGGGCAGCTAGGGGGTACAGAGCACTGGCCCTGGAGTCAAGAAGACCTGAGTTCAAATATGGCCTCAGATACATAACACTCACTACAGTGTGACTGTGGTCAAGTCACTTAAACCCAATTACCTCACCAAAAAAAAAAAGAAAGTAACAGAACAATCTAGACTTTTTCCCCTTTTAGGGGGAGGGTTGGAGGAAGAAAAGAAGGGAGGAACAGCGGTGGACAGCAGAGAAAGGAGGAGAAGAGATGGGAAAGGATAGTGGACAAGGAATAGCGGTGCTTTTAGACCTTGGAAATTCTTTTCCTTGGCTTTGCCTCCTAAGAATATGCCCTACTGGATTTGGAACGGTCCTCTTGTCCTAAGTAGCTTGGTGAATTGATACATTTCTTGTTTTGTTTTATAGGTAAGCTTCAGACAGAAATTGGTGAGTGTTCCATCTCAGAACTATTTCATACCTTTGAATATTTCATTGTGTTTGGGGGTCAGCCAGTTTACATGCCTGTTCAGCATCTTCCAACTAGGCAACATCTCTTGAGAGTGAGCAGAATGAGGCTGCTCGTGTGCATGGAGTAGGCAATGAGTATACTTTTATTCTTACCTCTTTCCTTTGTTGTTTTCAGACTGGAGAAGGGCAGAAGGACAGGCTGGTGAGTGACTCTCTCTCTCTCTTTCTCTCTCTCTTTCTTTTCCTCTCTCCTTCCCTCCCTCCCTTCCTTCTTAACTTGGCTCAAAATACTTTCTCCATACCAAGCATTTTCTAATGAATGCCTCCTACTCTGATAACTTTTTTACTCTACAGCAGTGCCACATATCTTCTATGTGAATTGATAGGGTAACAGGTTTAGAGTTTGAAGAACCTCTAAAGATCATTTAGTCTAACCCCCTTATTTCACATATGAAGCAATTGAAGCCCAGAGAGATGAGGTGAAATTATACTCATTTGAATTAATTTGAATGTATTGCTTTGTAAACATTCTCAAAATGTTTTCATTTATGTTGTTTTGGGTTTGCAACTAAACCATAAGCTTATGGAGAGCAAATTTATCTTCCTTTTCTTTTGCATTTCCTTACAGCATTTGTATCAAGGATCTGTATAGTCAGTGGCCACTCCAATGTTTCTCGTTTATTCAACAGGAAAAAAAATTGTCAAGTGCTTGTTGTGTGCCAAGTACTTTGTCTTATACAAAGATATTTGACATGACTTACACCTTCAAAGAATTTACAGTTCAATAGGGCAAGTGATATGCACTCAAAAACCCTATCATGAGGCTTTGCATAATAACTGATGTAGTGTAGCACTTGAAGGATTCATGATTTTACTGGTGTGGACACTCCCTATACTACAAAGATGGCAAATCCCACGTCATAGTTTTTGTGAATTGCTGTACCTCCCTTCTCAAAAAAGTATTGATCATTGAAAGCCCAACTTTCTCATAATGAAACTGGCTGAATTTTGGTAAATTTGACCTTACTCATCAGACCAAGTTTATAAATTTCCAGTGTGGTGGGACCTTCCAGAATTGGTATTTTTAATTAGCATAGTCTTTGAAAACCTAGTCATCTCAAAAATAGAATGAGGCTTGGGACAAGTGTCAGTCTAAGTGTGAAGAGAATACAAAGAAGGAAGGACAAACATTGAGGTGTTATATAAATGCAGGTGGTGGTGGTGGTGCTGGTGGTGATGTAGGAGGTGGTATTAGAGTAGGACAATTAGAGTGGGAAGGTGGAGGTGGAGGTAGAGATTGGGAGTAAAGCACATCCACGTAGAAGATTACCTTGCTACCTACTCACTAAATGTTCCCCTTCCCTTAAATCCATTATCTTTCCCCACTCATGCCTCATTTCAGGATTTATTTTGTTTGGAGCTCAAGCATTTGAGCCTTTCCACTCATTTTCTCCGGGGTTATTAGCTAATATTTCTCTTTCTCTGTTTTCAGAGTGGAGAGAAGCCAGAAGATATGCAGGTAACCAGAGCATATGGACCATGTTTTTATTTTGTATACACTAACTATGCCTACTTTGTGATATATTAGATAATATATGTATAGCACCTTGCAAACCTTAAAGCATTGTGTGTGTGTGTGTGTGTGTGCATGTATATACAAGCAATGATGATGATGACTATTATAGTACTCCATCACAAGAAGGCACTGAATGAATGTTGTTTGCTGGTTAGGAGGAATAATAATAGCTAACATTTATATAGCACTTATGTGCCAGGCACTATGCTATATAATTATTATCTCATTTGATCCTCACAACAACCCTATGAAGTAGGTTCTATTATTTATCCCTCCTTTACAGATAAATAAAATAGGCAGGCAGAAGCAAAGTAATTTGCCCAGGTCTCACAGCTAGTGTCTGAGGTCAGATTTGAACTCAGGTCTACTTGGCTCTAAGCCCTGCTCTCTATTCACTGTACCACCAAGCTACAGTTACTATGAACTTAATCTCAAGTAGACAATGAGAGAAAGATGGTAGCGAGATCTGTGACCAAGTATGGGTGTGCATATGTGCACATGCACAGATACTTAAAATTGGAGTGTACCAGAGAAATAAATAACCTGGTTCAACCTATCCGTGAATAGGAATACCCTTTATAATTCCCTTAATAGTAATCAATCAACATATATTAAGCACCTAATACTTGGTCATTCTGCCTCCACTTGAAGACACTCACTGACAGGGAGCCTACCATCTGTGTAGTTAGGCCCTTACCCTTTTGGACAGCACTCATTTTTAGAAAGTTTTATTTTAGCTTTACATCAAGTCAAAATCAAATTTCCTGCAACTTCCATCTGCTGCTTCTCATTCTGCCTCCTGGCTTTAAGTGGAACAAGTCTATTCCCTAGCCTGCTTAACAGCCTTTCTTTCATATATTTGAAGATGGCCTTCATGCTCCTTAGTCTTCTCTTGTTCAGGTTGAACGTGCCTGTATAGGTGTATATAAAAATGTGTGTGTCTGTGTAATACATATACATACATATTATATCCATATTTATTCTTATTCCATAGATACCTTACAATTTTCTACTATGGTCTCTCATCTCACATCCTTTTTTTTTTTAGTTCAGCTCTATTTTAAAAGCATAGAATTTTAGCTCTGTGACATTGCATGAGGGCAAAGAAATATAACTCAGACCTAAATCCACAAAAGGTTTTAGTGTATGTCATCCTAGTCCAACACTATCTCTTGGTTCTTGAACTCACAGGCATTCAAAATAAAGAGAGAGTGGGAGTCCTTATTTATCACCTTCAAATAATCAAAATCAAGCTACTAATGTACTCCCAGCTTTAGGAGTTAGGAAATGAACAGGTGTTATTTTCACACATAGAGAAATACCTAGGGTTTTTGCTTCTGGGGCAAGGGGAGTTGGGCAGGTTAAGGTGGAGAGGGGTTTTGCTGTCAGGTAGAGGAAGTACACCTCCCGGCATCATGAAATCTCAGTCTACACAGATGAATCTGTTGGTTATTCCTGGAGTGAAGGTAGAAGGTGGGTGTGGGAAGCTTACTTGAGATATGGTTTTCAGGAAAGAAATAGCACATCTTGGGGTTAGGCTGCTTTGGAGGGCAGGACTGAGCAAGGGAGAGCAAATACAGCCCCAGATAGCGTTGTTGGTACTCTCTAAATTGCTTGCCTTGGGTAATGCTGTCTTGGTCCCATTCTGGTTATAATTTTGCTTATATGTTACAAAGAAGGAGAAAATGAGGCCCAAAGAAGGAAATAAGCTTACCCAGGGTTGCACAGTAAAAGGAAGAAAGAACCAGAAATCACAATTTAAAGGTACTGACTCCCTGAATCCTTCTCACAGACCAACCCTATTCCTTTCTATACAGTGAATATAACTCTGGATTCGGATACTGCTCATCCCAGCCTTAAGGTCTCAGAAGATGGCAAGAGTGTCATCTATTGTGATATAAAGCAGGGCCTTCCAGATGACCCTAAGAGATTTGAAGACCAACTTTGTGTCCTCAGTCAGGAGGGTTTCATCTCGGGGAAGCACTACTGGGAGGTAGAGGTGGGGGAGAAAAGTAGGTGGTTCTTGGGTGTGTGTTATGACTCAGTGGAACGCAAAGGGGCGGTAAAGCTATGCCCTGGGACTGGTTACTGGGTGATAGGGCTGTGGAATGGCTGTGAGTATTTTATTTTCAATCCTCATCGAGTATCTCTAACACTGAGAGTGCCCCCCAGGCGAATAGGGGTCTTCTTGAACTATGAAGCTGGAAAGGTTTCTTTCTTCAATGTGACTGACAACTCCCACATATTCACCTTCACTGACAAATTCTCTGGGACTCTTCGCCCCTATTTTAGGCCCCGATCTCATGATGGAGGAGAACAGGTCATTCCTTTGACCATCTGCCCATTTCCTAACAAGGGTGATAGAGTAGCTGCCAAAGATGATGATGATTGTGACACCTGGTTACAACCCTATGATTTATCAGAGAACACTGAAAATGAGTGGTAAGAATCCTTAAGATCTGGGCAGGGTACTTTCTCAAAATGTGCTATCTAAACTTTGGGTAAATCTCCATTGTTTAAGTCTCCCAGAAAGCAATAAAGCTTATGTAAGCACACAAATACTCTATAGTCAATTCAGAATTATCTATGATCAGGGAAGAGAGGAGAGCACATATTAACTGGAGGGCATTATTCACCTCAATTTAGCTAATACTTTAGGTACCACCTTCTTCTAACCCTCCCAAAATCTTTTTTAGTAGAGTTGCTCGTGGATAATTAGAACTTCAATATCCTTTTCCCCACCTACTCCCAGACATGCCCATCCTCTGGTCATAAGTCATCACTCCATCAAAATAGCAGGAAACAAAATAGAAAGAAAAGAGAGAGGTATGAATATTCATGTAATAATCACTCTCTTAAATACTCTTAATGAATCAAGAAGGAATTTATTATTCATAAGCAACTAACTATCCTATAGGAATAAAATGATATTACTTACACAATATATTGTGGATTTATTTTTAAAAGAATGTCTATTGCTAAATGCTTGGTAATAAGAAAGCTAAAAATAAGTAAAAGCATTTTTAAAAAGCTTGATTTTGGGACTTATTCAACCAGCTATTCTCATGTTCTTAGTGATCTCATGTAGAATATTTAATCATATTTTGCTGTTTACATTATAATCAGATGAAACACATTTTTAAAAAATTGTTAATGTGTGACTACCATGGAACTCAGAAAATAAAATTTTATTCCTAGAATCATTTGCTTTGGTGTCATTTTTTTTTTTTAATCTGTCATCATTGAGCTTCCATAATACCATTAGCAAAAACAAATGTAGAATTGTTCCTTCAAAGAAAAGAAAACAATCTAGAGCTGATGGACTCATGATTTTGCTCAGCCTTTGGAGCATTCATCTTTTCCTTAGGATCCACCTTTGTGTCTTAAAAATAAACAAAAAATATAGCTGTAATATAGAAGCCAAAATGTAAATTGAAATATTCTTTAAAAAATTATTCACTGTGGGGCAGCTAGGTGGCGCAGTGGATAGAGATCCGACCTTGGAGTCAGGAGGACCTGAGTTCAAATGTGACCTCAAACAGTTTACACTTACTAGTTGTGTGACCCTGGGCAAGTCACAACCCCAATTGCCTCACCAAAAAAAGTAAAAATTTAAAAAAGTGTTTAAAAAATTATTCATGTCCTATTTTAAAGCACCTGAGGATTATCTTTAATATTGTAATATAAAGGCTATATTTCCTGCAATTCCACCCCCCTTACCTCTTCCTATGCAATCAGGCAAATTAAGTCTATTCCTATCTAAAACCAGGGAGAATTCAATTCAACAATGTAAAATGTTTATGTGTTTCTCTTATGCAGCACACATACCATTTGATCTTTGTTTCTTTCAAGATTAAGAGTACTAAGTATAGTAATACAGAGCAAAAATCATCAGTTGCAATATTGTTCAGTGCCCCCTTGAGGAATATTGAAACTTTAGGGAAAATTGTGTGGAACTGGTGCTAGCTGCCAAGGACATGAGGGGTGTTAAAAGGAATTTAGTCATCACAACCTAAATATTTAAGTGGGCCTGAGGAAATGCCTGCGGATAGGGAGCAAGGAAATTGGAAAATAAAGAATTTAACATAAACGACTCTTTACTATGCTGGCTGGGTGCAGTGGTGGGTTTGATTTACAAAACATTTGAAAAGTCTAGGGCCATTTTAAAGTCTAAGGTCATTGGGTATTCCCACAAAAGGGTAATAGTATTCCCTGTGCCGATGAATCCTAAATTACTTTATCTGTAAAATGAGAATAGGAATGTAACACCTTCCTGGGTAGGTTTTCTTTTCCTCTGTGTTTTCCTATGCTATTTCCATCATGTAAACCAAAGGAATAGAAAGTGTATGACTGACTGGCTTCAGGAAATAATAGAAAAAGAATTAGATGAAGTCATTCAATGTGAAGCTACAAAGGAACTTTTAAAAACAAAAAGTTGGTTATTATGGGAAACATGCCAGAACACCATCACAGAGCACAGGTAGAAACTTCAGACATACCTGAGATGCAGCACAGACAGTGAGCTATCAGCTTGGACTTGCCCAATAGTCCTATGATAACCTATAATGATGATGATTGTGTAGACCTGTGAGTGCATTGGTGTAATGAATTTCCAGTGAGGAAGTTACTATACTAATGCAGAATGGCAACTACTCTACAACTTAGATCTTAGTTAAGTAATTTGCCCAGGGTCATAGACAGTACGAGCCAGAGGCAAGATTTGAACCCAGGTCTTTCTGCCTCCAAAATTGGCCTTCTAGACGATTACACTGTACTGCCTTTCTGTATGGTTGTTTAGTCTGATCCCTTCATTTTAGAGATGGAAGACCTGAGTAGTTTAATGACTAGTTCAAAGTTACTTAGAAATATCAAGGGAGACTTCATGAAAGAAGTAGCTGCCAGGCTGGGCCTTAAAGGAAGAAAAGAATTTCAGTGGTTGGGGATGAGGAGGTTACAGACAAGGAACCCTTTCTTAGAGAGATGACAACAATAACTTAAAAGAACGTGGTGTAATCTAAACGGAAAACTTGAGGTTAAAGTGCTATTACTTGTCAATTCCAGTGGATTTATGCCAAGAGGATAGGCTAATCATGGGTAACATAAAAAGTAAAAAAAAATAAAAACCAATCATGAAAAATCTAAAACCAGAAGAAATATAAAAGATGCTTTTTAGAAAGAGTTTCCATATCCTTCATCCTCAAATCTTTAAAAGGAGCCCAGTTTCCTCCACTGAGAAATAAGGCCTTTGGTATAGATGATCTCTAAATTTTTTTTCCAAATCTAAAATTCAATGATTCAATGAAAAAGATATTTCTCTGTTCTTCCTTAGGACTGAAGGAAAGTATCCCTAGCCTTATTGTAAAGATCACAATGAAATCTAAGGCAGAGCTTTGGAGTTTTACATTGGATATGTAGCTTAGATTTCTTCTCTTGAAAAAAGCCAGGCATTTCCCTTTGTTTCTGTTTTTATGTTGTATCTTAAACCTCCCTGGGAGGGTAGGGTTCTAGTACCTTTTTACAGAAGATCTAAGATTCCTACCAAAAAAAGGGGGAGGGTGTATAATTGTGCCCTGAGATAAAAACAAAAGAAAAGGATTGGTTCCTGCTTTCACTGTACTTGCTTAATGGCGAATAGGCAGATGTGCCAGAACTTAAAGGGATAGTTGCCCATTTACAGGATCACTTGCTTTGAATTGGCCCTGAGGAAGGATGACTGGAATAGCAACCTGTATTGCACAATACCTGTGTCGGTGTCACTCCAAACTTGACCTCTTTCAGTGCATGCGTGAAACAAGGAGTGTGGGAATTACACATCCAGAGACCCTTTCTAGTCTCTCTGCAAGAGAAAAGAGATCCCTTTCAGAGACTCCCCAGGATCTTACATAATCTAAGAGTATGACTTAATCCTAGAAAAAAAAAAATCACAATCTGTTTGGATGCTTTGCCCCCCTCCCTATTCCCACTCAACCTCTTCCCCAACTTCAGTAACCTAAAAGGATCACTCATATCTAAGAACTGGAACACTTTTACTGAATTAAATTGAAAGTGAGTGCAAAGTTACATCCCAAGGCGTTTTGAATGAGGCACAACTGTTTACACTAATCTCAGCTTTCTAGTTTGTCTCTTTTTGTGCTTTATCTCTCACTATTTGAACTGATAGTGAACATCAGACTTACACCAAATAGCACCTTGGTGTATCAGCCACAAGAAGAAAGTGGTGATTGGCTCTCTGCTCTACCATTCACCCTTTCTCATTTGCGGTCAGTGATAATCATCTACCCTTGAACCCTGTAGAGATGGCAGTCCCTCCCTGATTCATGCACCAGTGAAAGGTGAAACCAGTACTAAAGGTTCTGAGGTCAAGTGTACAGGGCACAAGATTTCAAATGATAAATGGTCTAGGAAGGAAGGAAATTAGCCTTTACCAAGTGCTTACTATGTGCTAGGCACTGTGGTTAAGTGCTTTACAAATATTTCGTTTGATCCCCATAACAACACTCTAAGATAGTTGCTGTTGTTATCTTCATTCTACAGTCAAAGAAACTTAGGCAAACAGAGGTGAAGTGACTTGCTCAGAATCACACAGCTAGTAAGTATCTGAGGCTGGATTTGAACTCCAGTGTTTCTGTAGCCAGGGATCCTTCCTTTGTATCACCTAGCTGCCTCTGTAACCCAAAAGTTATGAAAATGAAGTAGAAAATTTTCCCCCCAAAATTCGATAACATTTTCCAGGCATAAGAGAGACATTCTCTACTTTTATACAATTTATTTTAATGCCTTTTTCAGTATTAATAAATTTGGAAATAATTTAATAATTAATGATAGTTTTTCAGGACTAATTTATATCTAGATTCCACTCCCCCCATGCTTTGGTATCTTCCTCTCCCCTAGAGATCTTGTCTATTCATCCCTCCACATACTAACTTTTAAAAATTTTTTGAATACTTATGTAAGGAGGAGTATGGGTTGCCCTGTATCCTGAGCATGCCTAGATAGCCGAACATAGAGATACTCTGCTTCGCTACCATGTGAGTGAATGTCGCCTCCTCTGTCTGTGTAGCTGAAACAAGATATGTCTTTAAAAACTGCCAAGCTAGGAGAATCTCTCTCTTTCTTGCCCACTCTTTCCTTCTGTGTCCAGAGGATGAAGATCATGGTTCACCCACAGTGCTGGTGCCATGACCTGAACTGGTGAAAAAGGAAAGGCTTCCTTCTCCTCTTTTACTCCTGCTCACAGAAATGAGCCTGGGGGTATTTGTTTCTATCTGTGTCATTTGTCCTTCTCAGCTTTCAGATGATCCCCAAAGGAGGTCAAGCCACAGTGATCTTAGGGCTAGGATTCCAGGCAGGATATTTCAGTCAGTCAACCTAGAAGGGGAAGCCCTGAGAAGCCAGGGATTTACTCAGTAGCCCAACCCCCCAGGGGTATTTTGTACTTGGAACTGGACTGCATTCTAAGGGAACTAAACTAAAGTATGAACTCCCCTTCCCTTTCTCAGAGACTGAGAATGGTGTAAGGGGGGGAGAGGGAATTATACCTCCCAAGTTCTTATATGTGTGATCGTACCTTTTGAAGTAATTATTTCTTTGTAAAAGCTAATCTGGCTCAGGGGCAGCTAGGTGGCACAGTGGATAGAGCACCAGCCCTGGAGTCAGAAGGACCTGAGTTCAAATTCTGCCTCAGACATATGATACTCATTAACTGTGTGACCCTGGGCAAGTTACTAAACCCCAATTGCCTCGCAAAAAAAAAAAAAAAAAAAAAAAAGCAGCTGATCTGACTGTTAAGGAGCTAATGGAACTGGGATGCAAGGGACCACTCCTACAAATGAGGGAACCAAATAGCCATTGGCAGAGAACCTAGACACCCCCTAATTCCCCTTAAAAGCTCACTGGAGAACCCAAGATGAGGAGAGAAAGGTAAAACACTTGGCCTTCAGGCAGTAGGGGCCAAGGTGGTCAGTGTTACTCTGAA